TTAGGACTCCGCGTACGACAATTGGCATGAAATCGCAGATTCTCTGGCACGTCGTTGATATGCATTCCACCGAATGCATTTGTCGAATTGTGTCAAATCGCGACAAATAAAATGGCGTGACGCGCCATTCATTATCGAAATGATTACCGGCGCGTCAGGAAGTACTATCTTAATTCCGTATTATACTCTATTTACTTTTCACTTGAGAATCTCCACTTTGAGGATAATCATTTTGACACTCTTTATGATTACAAATAAAACTTCAAAACGCACAAGTCAAGAATCTTTATTTGTTTATATTGCAGTTATAAATAATTATTAATTGTTATGAATTGGTGATACTCTCTGCAGGTCTTGCGTAATTCAGTAATCTTCCGACGTAACAATTTGTCGCGAAAAGAACGTTGAGTTTTTTTACTGTCAGCATAACTAAATTTTAGACCGACACATCTTGATTATTTTTTATCAAATCTAAAGTCAATTTTTGCTTAGAAAGGATCTTGAGTTTTGTATACACAATCGCAATAGAGACTCATTTAATATAGTTTAAAATACGTTTACGCGTTTATAGTACCGAAAACCGAGCAACAGCCAAAAATTGTATCGGCTGTATAAAATTGACGGATTCTCATGCGCTGGTGAATTTTCCGCGGATAATCCCGTATCCGTTGCACGGGCGCGCGAGAAATTCGCCCGGGCGTTTCACAGGGCCCCGAGAATATCCTGCAGGTAAAGAAGGCGAGAGCCGTAGTTTACAAACAGAGACTCGTACGATGTGTACACGGTACGCTGCCCCCCATTATTTTAGGCGGTGGAAACTCTTCTTTCCTATCTGTTTATGGAATCAGCTGCCAGTAACTTCCTCGACGGGCTCACCTGCCGGGAGCAGTGGACAGGCCTCGGAGATTCAGGAAAATCCGCCGTTTTTTTCCCTCTCGGGGCCCCCGGGGCCGACAAACGAGTCGGCCGATTTTCAATTTGCTCTGCGGGCCCCGAGTTTGCCTTTCTGCCTTCTTCAGTGAGTTAAGTAATCCCGGAGGCAAAAGTGGCGGTCTTTTCGAGAGCGAGACGGTTGCGTGGGATTTTTGGAATGCGAAAAATAAATTCAACAGTTACATAGAGGAATGCTATTTAAACTCGAGCGATTTCCTAGGAGGAGCTCTGTGTTTCTAGCCTTCAAAAATTTCTCTACTCGCGATATTCGCCATATATCGCGAGTTTCCCACTTACATGTTATAGCTCTTAAAATGTTTCTATTCGCCAGAATGCTTTTAACGGCGCGGAAAAGCGCAGGGAGGGAGGAAAACGCAAGAAAAAGGAGAATTCGTTAAGAGTCTTCGCACTCTGACCCCGCAAACTCGTTTCCCGAAGACGATATCGCACGCAGACCGAAATAAAGTGCGCGACATCGCAGGGGCGACAGAGCCGATATAATCCGATTTTACGAGGCGGCCCCGGCACGGAGAAAGAAAGAGTGAGACAGGGAGACAAGAGGGAGAGAGAGATGCTATCGGGCCCCGCGCGCCGAGGTCCCAGGCGATATAAACTTAGATGCGAATTAGTGGTGCCGCGATAGCATCTCATTTCGAGGCGAGCGTGCGATCGGGAATTTATCGAGAAATTAAATTAGGAATTATGCTAATACCGCCCATCGCCCTATATAGACGGGACACCTCACCGAGGTCCGACCGCCATGAATGAGCCGCGGCGGCGGCGGCGGGCGTCACGTTTCCCCGGTTATTTATGCGTTATTTGCGCCATCCAATTAAAAGGCCCCTTTCGTAAGACTGCTCTCGTACGGCGTGCAACGTAATTCGCCGGATCGACGTTGCGTGATCCTTGAATTCCGCTCCCAGAATTTATACGGAACATAGATTTAAAACGATTTCTTTTTCTTTAACTTGAATTCAACATTAAAATAACTTGGTTGTAATAAATCATACAATGGTTTGCGTCTACGAAAAATTTAAATAACAAAATAATAGTGATAAATGTCATCTAATTTATTTAATTCAAATTTGCTTAAAAAAAAAAACAATTGCTTGTATTTTCAATGAAGTAACTGAAGTCGTTGATCTCAATTTTATGGCACCCGCGGTCGGCGCGAGGAAGATAACGGCGAAGGCGCGGCTAGTTTTATTAATCGACCGGTCCGTAAATAAGATTTACTTCGAAATTCCGTGGCGCGGTTGCCGAGATCGATTCGTCTCCATTTTTCGTGAGACAACGGCGACTCACGTAGGACCATTCGCAGATAGAATCTCCTCGCATTCCTGGCATTTTTTATAATCCTTGACGTTGATCTCGACACGGACGACACGAGCACGAACAGAATGGCCAAAATAAAAAAATCCGGTCTATTGTTTTTATGGTTGTTATGTATGTTTTAAAGAGCGAGTGAATTGCGGCTGTGAAATGTTTTATAAAATATATTTATTATACCTATTTCATATATACAATACCGTACATATAATATAATAATAAAATTTATATGTAGCATAAACATTAGAGTTATAACATTATTTCCATTAATTATTTTATTAGGTAATATAAATGCAATGTTTTCAACGGAGCATCATTGAAACTGGTCAATGCTCATTCTTTATCTGATATTTCACCCATGCTTTTGCAATCTGTTACTTTTTACGGTGCCTGAAAAGATGCCTGATTGAATTTAGCATATTATCATTTACCGTCATAAAAAACTGAAAAAAATAACAGAAGTGAGAAGTGACTTAAGAGATTATCGCGAAGATAGTAAGATGACAAATTGTACGGAGATAATTATTAATTATTCCCATCGGGGGGTTAAACCGTTGAAGCTTCCAACATTTAAGAAATCTCTCTCTCTCTCTCTCTTCCTCTTCCTCCTCCTCGATTCCACGTGGTCGTCGAAGAAAGAAAAGAAGAGAGAAGCGTCGATCCCGGAGACGCGGAGTAAGTGTCATGGCGACGGGGCTTCGAAATAAATGTCTCCTACCCGCGATGAGTCACAAATCCTAATGAAAATAATAATACCCGAAAGATTCCGTTCTTTCGTGGTCGCGCGGTGCAACGAGGATAAATTTACTGCGCGATCTACGGACGGATAAGGCATACCTGGGGACACCTCCGTCCCCGGTTATAGGTTCCACCATGTAACGGGTGGTACGAAAAAGATCTTTACGATAGACTCGGCCCTCACATTGTCTCGATACGTCCAGATCTCGTCTTCACGAGACCTCTTAACCCTCTCTTTTCCGCGACGATACAGAAATGACGTACCCGTCTAACTATAAATCATATCTGTCGTAAAGAGACTAAGAAATTGATGTAATTACGATTATACTAATTGATAATATGAAAAAAATAGATATAATGAACGCCATTCTATATGTTATATATTGCCTCAATTTATGTAAAATCTTGCCCTTATATCGTATATATGACTAAAAAACTTCATTTTAGTTAGGAATTATGTCTTTATGTAGAGATTGATTCTAATATAATCTTCTTGTGTGTTTTCCACGCTGTATGAACTTTACACCAAATTATCTCGTCTTCAGTGCAGACAGAGATGATTCTTTTATATCCACATACCGAAATATTTGGACTTCTCAGATTAAACCTTTCCGCTTTTATATCTTGACAAACGCGTTTCTAGCATTAAATTAGAATAAATATTGTATTTAAGAACAAAATACGTATATTGAAAGGTATTATATAATATCTGAATTTTTTTGCTTTATCTTAATTTTACTCAATTAAAGTACACTAGAAATTTTACGGCGATATATTATATCGCAAACTAAACGGATCTTTTATCAGCTCTTCAAGGCTACACGATGTCGAGAGCTCAGGTATCCTTCCGTGCTCCCTTATCACTTCGGTAGTTTCTCTCTCGTACCAAAGACCGGTTCTCGGAAACACCCCGTAGACAAGTGTCGCAGCACTTGCCTTGAACGGCGCGGTATCACCAGTCTCACGTCTAAACGACTTGTAAAACAAGCGCTTAACGATTGCTGGTACCTGGTGGAGATAGACAAAGAGAGAGAGAGAGAGAGAGAGAGAGAGAGAGAGAAAGAAAAGAGAGGGGGGGGCAGAAGGAAAGGTAGGCGAAAGGGGGTTCGCTCGGGCCCGTAGGTCCCACGTGCTTCAAGGAGGTCCAAACCGCTAAATTGAGTTTACGAGACGCCGAGAGCGTCTCTCTCGCCTTCTCTTCTCTCATACCCTTTTTTCCCCTTCGATCTCTCCTCCCTTTCCGCCGTGTACCTCTTTAAGACCGTATCCTGCCTCCCTACGCGCTTAGTGCCCGCCCTTAATTCACAAGTACGAAAGACTCGAAAGAGGCAGGATATACCCTCTTCTCGGTACTTTACGCACCGGCACCGGTGTTATCTTAAGCGATATTATTTCGATTCCCCAGCCTCGCCGAATCGGCATCGCCGGTTTATCCGCGAGGAATTGCATTAAGCGCGGCACTCGCGCCTGCGAATGCAATTAAATCGGACCCCTGGGATGTCTTTATAATGGAATGATGAAGAACGTGTTTCTAATGGGGTTCGGTGACAAACGTGTATTAATACTATGCAATCTACATCATTTTTAATGACGCAACTTACAATTAGTATTGATATACATAAACTTATTTCTTTTAAAGTAATTACAAATTTTTGGACAGAGTTAATAATATCACTCTTAATTATTGGCATTTTAGTTCCTATAATAAAGGATTAATAATTTTTTAAATGTAGACGGATGTGAATAAAAGAAAAAGGAAATGAATGATTAGAGAGAGATGCATATTATTAAAGATTACATTTGATAATAGTGTAATTAGTGTAACAACTCTTAAACATGGGGTATAATAACGATATAATTAACATAACAATTTGTTTGAACCGAGTTGATTCGCCGTCTTTTACTTGCAATTTTTTTATGCATTACGCGAAACGTATATCTTCGCGAAGAAAGACCCGGCTGTCTCTTTTTGAAAGGCAAACGCCACTTTGCGGTTTCAGTGGCCAGAGGGAGGATAAGACCCACGGCGGGGGTCTCGGGGACTCCAGCAGCGAGAGTGGCGACGAGACGAAGCGGCAGTCCGGCCAGCAGCAACAGCAGCAACAGCCGTCCTCCTGCGCGGTTCAGCAGCAACAGCAGCAGCAGCAACAAATGGTGGACCATCAGCAAACCTCCGGCATGTACCAGCTTCCGCCGCCAGCTTCCGTCTCGGTTTCCAGCCCGCACTCGTATCACCAAGGCCACGGCACGTCCTTGAGCCACCCGCACATGCAGCACCACGACACGAGCAGCGAGAGCGGCGACGACAAGAGGAACCTCCATCATCAGTTGCAGCATCATCTCCAGGTCGGCACCCACGGCACCCATGGTTTGGTCCATCCCACCGCCACCTTGCCACCGCCACCGCCTAGCTGCGCTCAACAGAAGAGTCAGCTGGATTATATGCAATACTATCCGCAGGTAGGGGACTACGAAATAATCTTGAATGTTTATTTTTATATTTCGCATGCATTACTTCAACCTTTTGTAAAGCAAAACCACGAGGGATGGAAAAATGTACTCTTTTTATTTCTTTAATATCTTTTGCGTCTTTCTTGAGAACGAGGAAAATATTATGTGACATTGTTTCACATGCAACAACATCAGAAATGGAAAATTGTTATTCTAATAATATATAAAAAGTTAAAGATTTAAATAATTCCAGACTCTTCTTCAAAACTCATGAAAATGAGAGTATCTATGTATATAACATATGTAACATATATAAATATATGTTTTACATCCGAGCGTTAGTAATAATGTGGAAATGGATCGGAAAAATATGAGAATTGTCGTTGTCTGTGGCAGGACTATTTAATCGGCACGCCGACCTCCGCGGATCTGCAGAAGTCCTTACCGCACACGGCGACGTCGATGCAGATGGGGGCGATCGCCCCTTCCATGGGCGGGCTGAGCCCGATGGGCCCGTCGACGATGCTGTCCAACACCATGCAGAGCGTCAACACCATGAACACCATGTCGATGAACGGCATGGGCATGGGCGCTTATCAAGGCATGGGCTCCATGGGGATGTCCACGTCGCACGCGAGTTACCACAGCGGCCTCGTGCTGGGCGAGTACCATTCGTTGTGACCTTGGGCCCCAAGCACTCAGAGCAAGAGGAGCCAAGAGAAGACTTAATGCACATCGGCGGGGCGCGAGACTCCCGATCGATCAAGGTACTCGAGTGGCTTGCCGAAATTTGGATCGCCAATGAATTATTACCGCTGAAATTTATTTAACGGAACGTCGTTGATTAATAAAAGTTATCATTAACTCAAAGCGATATATAAATTTATCGGTAACTTTTAGTTAATGAATAACGTGAATTTTATTCGCGTCGGAAATATTTTTTTCATCGCGATGATAATTTCTTGACAATCCAAAAATGTCCAGATAAATAAGGAGAGAAAAGCCTTCTGCGGATATATCGTTGCATCCTCCTTGAGCTTTTCTCAGTGTATGTTTAGAGCGTATGAAGAGAGCGTCAAATAGTCTGTCAAATCGTCCTGTCCGCTCCGGCACTCAGAACAGTTTTTTAATTCTTTAATGAAATTTTGCCAGGATAAGAATATATATACAATTAATTAGTATGCAAGAAAGCAACTTGAAGTATACGGATTGCATAAATAACTTTATGTTCTTCAATATTAATTTTTTATTTTTCCAATTGAAGAATGCTAATCTAAACTTGAAAAAGAGATAAATACGTTTACAAGTAAAGTTATTCAATTAATTTCTAGCCAAGAGTGCTTGTTTATCTAACCCGTGAAAATTCTTCAAATATTTTCTCAGAAAAATAGTCTTACTCCACGAATATCCGTGAAAAATCAAAGGATGCCGAAGCGACGATGACGTTTCCGAACGAAATAGCAAAAGACATATTAGCATTTTACTTTCCCAGTATAGTCTCGCGGCAAGCCGGCTAGACCGGCTTGTGTTTACCACTATTTCCATAAGTAAACAACGGACGAAAAATCTCGTCAGCTTTTCTGTCCCATCATCGTACTTGGCGCCATACTTTTCTGGTTTTTGCCCGAGCGGAATAAATTGCACGATGAAGCAACGTTTCTTTTTTTTTGTTCGTTTGTTTTACGCGAGGTGCACGCGAAATACGAACGAATGCAACTTACCCCTTTACCCCCCCCCCTTTCCCTCACTTCGTATAGATTTGATCAGCTAATTAATTTACTGTAATCAACAATACGCTCCTTTCACACCATACGCTTTTGTGTTTGTCCTGTATGTACATATGTATAATACACACGGCATTCGGCATATTATTAAGTTAATCTCGTTCTTGTTCGCTGCCTACCGGGTGTTCCCGTATCACCGATTTGGGTTCCATGATCAGCCAATGATTTGAAATTTTAAGCTTTGATGTCTTAGCGATTAAAGTATAATTAAACATATTTTTCACGTTTTAGTTTTTCTTAGCTTTATTATATCCTTAAAGGATGTAATAAAATTCCTGGAAGAGACAGGACATAATAGATCATATAAGAGACAGGACATCCGAAACAGGCCAAATTTTATAAGATACTTTATTATTAATTCACATTCCACAAATGATTTATGCGTGTCAAAAAGCAGTTATCATTAAAGAAAAACCGTTATCACAAAAATGTCACATCAATTATTATTTAAGAAATGTGATACCGTGTGATGATTTAATTGATTAAAAGCAGCTGGATGGAAGCGAGGCTTTATAGGGGTACCCCCAGTAGACAGTGAATGTTATCGCAGGATAAGATAGTGAGTAAATTATCATTTATTCGCAGTTCGCAGTCTGTACATAAGTATATCTAAAGACAGTGAGAAAGAGAACGGGAAAACAAAGTAGGGGAGACCGGGGGCAAACTTGACACGATTTTTTCAAAGGCAATTTTCAACAATTAATTAAAATTTTCAAGCAAATTTAATGCGTGCCGACTAGATTTGTCAGACTTGAAACACAGCTCCGGTTGGAGTAGTAAAATCTTCCCCTAATTACATCGATTCGATTTAATTTTTGATGCTATATGCATCTAAATAACTGTAATGAAGTCTAGTGTCAAGTTTGCCCCGGTCTCCCCTATGTTATGTGCGCGAAAAAAGGGAATGCAAAGGAAGAAAGGAGTTATACGCAAGAGTGTGACGGAAGACGGAAAAGTCGAGATATCGAGATGAATTCTTGATTCGTTATTCAAGATAAGTATATATATTTAAACCGTTTTCTTGCCAAAGAACAGCTCAAAATTATCACGTTTACTCGCGATAATTTTTCTTATTTTTTTAACGATAGTTTTTATTTTTTTGTGACGAAAAAGTAGAATTGAAAATTTTGTGATGTGTTTAATACTTTGTTTTTTTTTTCCAATTTTATCGCGAAGAACGCGCGAAAGGAAGATTATTTACCGAGGCTTATAAAGTCGCTTTTCAAGTGATTCAGGGCTTCAGGGGCACTTACATTCATCTCCAATGTCGACTTTCCATTCGTGAGCCATCTCGCGCGCAGATGTCCTAAATATTCCGTTAGCTACGACATTGCCTTGTAGATTCTTATCTAGGATGTCGAGGAGAGAAAGGATTTCCCTTATGAAAGAGTCCTCGGGACGAAACAGGGTAGAGAATAGGATCGAGGTGGAGAGAAAGAGAGAGGCGACGTGGAAAATAATAATATCTTCGATCTATACGGCAGAAGCCGATCGGCGTTATTTTCATTTTGTATCTTTCACGCATTCGTCGTATTCTGTGTATTTGTTAATCCATACGGAAATAAATCGAAACTACTTGAACTATTTATTCGACAATTCATAAGTGCCACATTACGTGTTACAATAGTATTAACGGCTGATTAAAGAAGAAATCGACTGTACAATAGAACATAACATATTTCTCAATTAACGAAGGTACAACGGATGAATATACATAACGATAATACTATTTTCGTGACGCAATATCTTTTTTTTACTATCCAACAAAGTTAAGTGCGATAATTTTACATTCTACAATTTTTTTTTTTTAATTATTTCGAAACTTTTGTAATAAAATAATTTTCTATTTTTTTTTTATAAAAACAGTATCGCCAATCAGCCTTTGGAAGCTCAAGGTTAAAGCCAATTTCGTGTTAGGTCGTACGTTTTATTAAATTGTTATAAATATTAAGCATCGATCGAAACTCTGTTGATAAATTAACGAGCCATAAATACTTTTACAGTCTTGTCCACAGAATACTATACAACAGTTATAACCGCGTTTTATATTAATTTTTGCAGGTAATAAACAATTTTTTTATTAGACTCTTTTATTTGTAAAATTATGTAAACTGTTTTAAAATGCTTCGGCTAATGAACGCTACAACTGGAACTATTAATTACTAACAGGAATAACTATCATTTTACTGTCTCACATTTGAAGCGCTGTTTAAGAGCGTCTACATGACGCAAGTTGTGTTGCACAAACGCAGCTTCCGAACAATCGCACGATCTTCTTTTATTTTCTGTTTTTTTTTTCCGGAAGTTGCTTCTTTTATATATTCCGTCATTGTACGTTCCCGAGATATTCTTTTCAAACTTGTGTAACTTTAATTGTAATCGACAACTCGAGAAATTTTCTACGAAACGAACGCTGCGATTCGACCAAAGCTAAAGAATTAATTTTTGCGAATAGGATGTTAATCGTAATCGACTCTTGCACAAATTACGCACTCGCACGCAACTCGCGCATATGAGAAAGGAGGGCAGAAGGGCAATCGAAGGAGCGAATGAATGAAAGGAGAGCCGAGCGCGCGCCGCAAGGACGATAAAATTAATGACCATCGTCTCTGGTCCTCTCCAGTTCTCATTCGTGTATTTTAGCGGACAAATCTAACGTTGCACAACTAACTGAGACGAATTGCCGAGAGTGATCGTGAGTGCGATTATACATGAATGTGTGTATCAACGAGCGAGCTGTATGTGTGGGCGTATGTACGTATGTGTGTGTATGTGTGTGTATGTGTGCACGTGAAAGAGGATAGAAAGGGAGACGATGATGCGCAAGTAGATATAAGTAAGAGATCATAATGTACGATCGAATTGTAATCGAGTAAAGTTGATGTTATTTAAAGTAACAAGATGCCAGTGTTATCTGCGTGTTTCACGCGCACACATCCTTTTACTTTACAGCATCCTGCGTCTTCTGTCTTCATGCTTAGATGCTGCTGAGTACCGAAGCTGGTAAGTAGCGCGCATCGATATTTTTGAAGAAATAACTGACTGCAAAACGATAAGTTTTATCTTAATAAATAAAAGACTAGATAAATTGCGTTATCTTTTTTAAAAATGGCAATAGATGTTTTTTTTTTTATTGAGTACGAAATCGCGTACTGTAAAATAAATGTGTAAAAATTCCGTTATATTTAAATTCCGAGAATAAAACGTTTGGATTTAAACTTGTACGATTTCGCTAAATCTATTTCTTCGCGTTCGCCTCTCGCGGTCCGGACTCGGATCAAGATCGCACCGATTTCGATCCCCAACAAGAAGAGCTGTGCAAAAATATCGCGCGCGCGTGCGGCGCTGACGCTAAGCGGAACATCTTTTTCGAGATTATTTTTCAAAATCGACGAGGCAGTTAGGCCGTAACGATACGCAGAAGAGCGCGATGTGAAAAAGGCAAGTGTCTGGATCGTTTTTCCCCTCGCTGTTGGCGCGGCGCGCTAACAAGTAGCCATTGTGAGCCCCGTGTCAAGATGCTACTTGACAGTATACTCTCTCGACGGACCCTCTTCAGGGCCCACTCGCCCCCGTTCCACCACGCCGCGCAACCGGGCGTATGCCGCACGTACACACGCGCGCGCGCTCACGCACGCACGCACGCACCTCTGTGGGGTCCGTGCTTAACTTTACGATCTCCGAAAATCCCTAAGGGCCCCGTCGCGCGCGACTAATAGAACCGAAATTATAACAGGCCGATGAGCATGCGTCGACTGCTCTTATTCCGCCTCGCTGACGGATTCAGAAAAACCACAAGAGAAAGAGAATCGGGAATCAACGCAAGGAAACCGTGAAAAATCTCATTCTGATGGATGTCTTATTTACGAGCTTCCTAGGCGATAACTTAGGTTGTTAAGGAATTAACATAATTTATATATATCTACTTATAATTTTTATCTCGCTTTATTTCTAGAACTTTGATAAAACGGTAAATTTTTTCTATGCTTTCTTTTACATTACTATTTTCTTCGGTATGTATAGTGTGTTTATTTTTTTTTTTAATAATGTTTTAAAAAATTATATATTTTGTAAATATATTTGCATCCTGATGATTATTGCTTTTGTCAATAAAAAAACGTTATTACGATTCGAAAGTTAAGAATATTAATTAAATCTACAATTAAATTCGTAAAAAAGTTTAAACGGAGCGGCAACGCAGCCACGCTCTGTTACGTTCGATCGAATTTAGTTTGCGATCATCACGTTGATAAGAATAGAATTGAGTACAAAGGAGCCTCCGGTCACGTGGAGAAGCCAGATGCTCTTTTTCAGGATCGTAGAGGATATTATTCGAACTGCGCTGGTAAATATCGACAACAAAGGGGAGGTCGAAGATCTTATCCGTCATCGTGATCGTTGATGATAGGCCTAATAGCGTGCCGAAGGACGGTCGTTTTGAAATAATTACCAGTTTATATCCAGCGTCGATCTTTCCAGGTTCATCCGGATAAATCGGATCAAAGGACGACGCTCTCCTCGCCGCCTTTTTTCTCGCGAAATGCCGTTGTAAAAAGATAGAGATTGTCGTGTCGGACATCGGCGCTTGGATTTATCCTTTTTCTCGATGAGAAAAAAAAACCAAACCTCTTTCGAGGGATAATTCGAAGCCGTGAAAAGTATTCCAAACTACTTGGCCCGTCTGCTGCACGTTATATAACTGTCGAGTGCTCGGGCGAGAAACTTACGATCCAAGCCTCTCTTCACCTTCCGGGGCGCATCCCCGTTACGTGGCGAATAATAAGTTTGATACCGTTACAATGCGATCATTACACGCCGGTAATGACGGTGCATTCAGGCACGAGGCGAACTGCAACGCACCACCGGCCTTCCCTCGCATCTGCCCGGTCCTACAACAATGGACGCGCGATGCACCACCCCACGGAGTCTCGGGGTACGCAATAACGCTCCCGAGAATCGACGTTTGAATTGCGAAAAAAAGATATTTTTGCAACAACCTCTTTTTTTTTTTAATTCCATCATTACACGATAGGAATATTTTTATTCTCTCATATAGAGAATAAAATATATGATAGACTAATACTTAATTGTACAATATAAAGTACTATTGTAAAATAATATTGATTATATAACACATGTTTTAATAAAACAATGAAATTGTTTATGTGGGAGATGAACGCTTGGAAGGAACTCAAAATCAATTTCTACATACATTAAAATTAAAACGATCTACTGTTTACAAAGATATATTTACAACACGAATCTTGCTTGAGGGAGATGAATCCTCTTCTAGGCAAGTCTCTTATGTAAAAGATAAAGATTTCTCAACGACGTTCTTTCACGCGGTGCATCTTGATCGAGCGCGATCGAGATCGCGGCGAATTCACGGATAGATCGATATAAGACGCGTATATAAATCCATTAACGCGCCACTTACGGGCGAACGGGCGATCGATGTAAATTACGACGTTGGTAAGGCTTAGGCGAGCTTAGACGAGCGCGGAGAAGCGATTTCGAGGTGGGGAGGGGGGATATTTATAGGCAGACCGGCTGAAATTAATTTATGCAGCCGCATAGGCTGCCACGTAATTTATTCGCGGGACTCGCGACGATCACTCACTCTCCTCGCGGGCTTTTGTGTGCAAGGAAATCCCGGGCCATTAGAAACGGGCACGAAGGGCCGCCGCGCCGCGCCGGCCGCGTCGATTCCTCTTCGAGCTTTCTTCCGAGCTGTTGCCCGATCGAGCCCCGTTGTGTTTCGCGAGCACGACTCCACCGAGAGATCGGCCGGGCCGATGCCTCGGAAAACGAAGAGCCCCACCTGAACAGGGAAGTGAGAGATCTTCGTCTTAATGTCGTTCCGATAGATTGCAATCTTTGGTTGATAACAGGAAGCATTTGCATTATCTCGATAAGTGCGCCGTCTTAACTTTTATTTTATTGTCTATACCTTTATCATAATTATCGTTATCGGTACGATCTATACGGAGACTTCGTTATTTTTTATAGTCTTTTTATATCGTCTTGTAACGGGCAACTTGGAGATGAAGGGAACTGTATTTATATCCTTGCCATTAAGATTTATATCCTTGTATTTTCTACTATGAGTAGATGTTTAGATCCACGATTTTCGGATGCGTCGGCTTTCAGGGATTTTTCAAAATCAAGTTTCTCGGTATATATATATATGTATTATGTGGCGAGACGTCGCGACGTGGCGTGCATCCTCACGACGGCGCGCGGCCGCGTTTCCATCACCGGGGCGAGAGAGATCCAGGAAGGATCCGCGTATAGCGCGGCTGAAACAAGAGGGATTGTCTCGTGGAAGAGGCCCGGGGGCGAGGATCTCGCGGCGAGATCTGCGGTGCACCCGCGTTATGATTTGTGGGCGTCCAGATCGTGGATCCTGTCCGGCTGGCTGGTTGGCTGGCGGAGCAGAGAGGGCACCCACGCTTTCCAGGAACCGTCCGCCGCGTGGCGTCCGCGGCGAGGAAGGGAGAACGTTAAAGGTTCCCGGGAGAGAGAGTAGGAGAGAGAGAGAGATCAGCCGGCCCCGATTACGCCGAGGGTGTAATGGACGGACTAATTTGTGAAATTTAAATTCCGTCCCCGACGTTTTGCCGCGAGGCGAAGCGAGCTGGTGCCGCGGGAAGGCGGGGGAGAGATAAGGAAGAGGGCGAGATAAATCGCGGCTGCCCCCTTCCCCTCCTCCTCCCTCACCGGGGACCACGGTCCATGGCTGATCTTTCTGGAAAATCGTAGGTGGATAGGTGCTTCGCGTCGCGACGTTTCACGGGTGGCGTAGATGTGTGGATGCACGTGTATATCGCAAAAATAATTCTCGACGAGATTAGGATCCGGTTGATAAAGGCATTTCGGGGAGAGAAATACTGTTTTTCTCCGAAAACAAAGGTTTAAAGTGCAACGAGAGAGAAAACGAGCGATACGAAGATGGAGAAAAACATGTCTATAATTTTTCAAATAGCCGTATTTTTTTATTTCGCCAATAATGGCCATTCGTTGATTAGAGTATACAATTTTCATTATACACTTTACAAAAGTGAAGAAATTCATTCATAAACAGTTTATTTTTTCTAGAATTCTTACAGAATAGCAGATATTTCTGATGCATTCTTGATAAAACAATGTTTTTCGCTGAGAACACAGAGGCGCGACGAGAGAAAACGAGCGATACGAAGACAAAGAGAGAGGGAGACGAAGATAGGAAGATAATGAGGAAGATGTCTAAGCGGTGGCGGATTAGAGGCAGCTTCTCTCGCTATACAGCGAGAGCAGGCCCTATTGTCGGGCCGCATAATACGGTTATGATTTAGTTTGGGACGTGAGGATGCGAGCGAACAAATGAACGAACGGGCCGAGGGGGCCTGACTAGGTAGACGGGGGGGGAGGGCCATTGGTGTCAGATTACGCCGGGGTCCAGGCCCCGTCTGGAACATCCACACGTCCGCGTAAGGACTCACACGCGGTGTCGGGCCCTTTAAGCATACATGTGCGTGTACGCGCTTTGCTTTTTTTCCTCTCCGTAAAGATTGACCCTACTTTCTCCACTTTCTTCCTCTTTTCCTTGTTCTCTCGCACTTTTCCTCGCGCCGGATGCTCTCTTATTTAAAATGTAGATCTCGAGTGCGCTAATTGCAATTGTGTCGACAAGATTTAGTCATAAATTATAAGTAAGTAATAATAAATAAAGTTGTCAGAGAAAATTATCATTATCTAATTATTTAATATTTTATGTCCGCGATATATCTATATATATATATATATATATATATTAACTCTGTGCGATGAAGAAAATAGTTTTGAAGTATATTCCGGTTCATTCAGAAATTTTATTTAGTTATTCTTATTCTTTGACTATGATTTATTTCGCGATAAAATT